CTTTGAGCATTAAAAACGAAGATCAGGGCCAGTTTTTCGCGATGGAATTTATAATTCTCGTGCGACGTACTTCGCGGTTAGTGAACGCGACGCTTGACGAGATGACGAGGAGATCCTAGAGAAACTAATGTATGAATGTAAGTACTGCCTATTCGGGATCTAATACATAAACGCTATCGGAACAACTTTCCAGAGAAAATAAAAACCTTCTTATACTTATACGACCTAGTTTTTAAAACGGGTAAAAACAGACAGTTTTACTCTTTCTTAAAAGTTGTGTGAGAGAAGATGACATATAAAAGTGCATAATCAAAGATTATGGAAAATTCAATTCAATTTAAATAAAATAAAATTTAATGAAAATCAACTTTGTTTCATTTAACTTTGTCGGAGTGGGGATCTATTTTAAAAATCATAGCTTTGCTCGATTGAGATTTGTTATAATTCTAATGATTCTTTTTGTTGTATTTCTTGCCTTAAAATATGATAATAATTCAGTGCAGATTTATAATGACTTTCCCGTCTTATAAATGTTAAAAAATATTTTTTAAAGCATGTTTTGCTGAAAACTAATTAAGAAACTACATATAAACACTTGCATTATATGTTATAATATTGTGATAAGGAGAAGAGAGAAAGAGAGAGGAATATAGTCATTAGACTAATCAGTTAATTGATTTGCTTATTAATATATGCGATTGTTCATTTATCGGTAAGGCACACTGTTTAGCTGTTAATTTATAATTGTTTACGCGCATGGAGAGGAGTAAATTGCAATCATCGTTTAATTCATCGCTCAATTAGAACAGCGATATACATAGTGATAGTTAGCAAAATGTAATGATAGTCGCGCTATGGGAACAAATTTGAATAGTAATCAGGACAATGTATCGACTGAAGCGATGACGTTGCTGATACATTCGCGACATATGCAATTAGTCGTATGCGTTTCAATTACCATGTCGTTTTAATATAATTCATGACATTGGCGCAATTGGGAAGAATGCCGCGAGTAGATAAACATCTAATTGCTATCATGGATGTAATTACGAGCAACACGCTTTCGATTTCATTGCCTGCGCGCTATTTACGTCGCTTTGCTTAACAGCCGGAACAATCCAGTCGCAGTAAATGTCAATCGTAACCGTTCCAATGGACAGTCATTTCAATTGCCAGGATACGACAATGTTTTGCGGCAATGATCGATATGTTACATATATACGTGAAACATCGTCGTTGTTTTAACGATTTGGTCAACTTCAATTACAAGTGACCAGTGTAAAATATTATACACACACATACACACACACACACACACACATATATATATATATATATATATATATGTCTAAAATGCTTTACATTCGGTGCTCGTAATTGAAGTTGTTCCAAATTGACGCTTGAAATTTCAAATTGTTTTTCAAGTGTTAATGTAAACAAAATGTTAATTTTAATTTAAGGACGTACAGTAGATTTTTTGAGACATGCAAAAATGTTAAAATTAACGTTTTAATTTTACTACTGTACGTCTTTAAATTAAAATTACATAACATTTCATTTTTTATGTACATATACAAAAAGTTGTTTTATGTACATTTATGTACATATACAAGATGGTCTTTAAATATTCTAAAAGATTTTAAAGAGTGATTTCTCACATTGATTTAAGAAAATG